ATCTACCACTATAGATTGATCCATCAGTGCGCAAACCTGTTCCTCTTAGCTCTCTCGCACAATTCCACCCACTCCCCACCAACTGCATCCACCACCAGCATCCCTCCGCCCACCCCACACCACGCACGCCCTTGTCTACCTTCACTCCACGACTACACACACACACATACACACCCCACTCCCACCATCACCCACACGCACACTCCCCTACCCCACCTCACCCACGCACACTAACACGTTCCTCCCGTATTTCAGCGGACCCGAGAGACCGATCGGAGGCGACGTGACGCACCGGACGGGTCCCGGCCCTGCGCCCGCCCAACCCGACCGACCGACCCCACCACGCCCCGACCCCCAGCAGCAGCAGCAGCAGCCGCAGCAGCAGCAGCAGCAACAGCAGCAGCAGGCGCGCGGAGGGGCGCCCGCTTCCGTGCAGACACGCCAGCCCATGCCGATACCGCAGCCTGCGAGTCAGGACAAGCCGGACACGGAAGACACGATGAGCAACCTCCGCAAGACCTTCGCCGGAATCTTCGGCGACATGTAGAGGCAGGCGGCGACGTTAGGGTGCGCCACCGTTGCGGCGACGTTAGGGCGTCACCTCCCACATCCGGAGTGCGCCCAAGCTTCCTTAGTATACCTCTAAACGTGATCATTCCCACTAAACTAAACCAAACTAAAGCAGACCATGGCTTGAATCTCTAGATCTACAGGCAGATTCTTGGTCCTTGGCTATATGTTCTTTTGGACGTATGTTCGATGCTCTTGCGATGGACGTTGTTCATGTACACCTATACCCACCGCGAATCATGAAATCATTTAAGTCATAAAAGCTTTTGAAAGCTCTTCTAAATGCTGTCGACGAGCACGAATCCCAAACTCCGCGATCTCGTTGTCATGGAAACATCGGAAATAGGTTTGACATGCATCGTAACTCTGAATTCTCATGAAGTGAAGCGTTGACGCAAAATTTACGAGATTTTAGACTTAACGACAGCCATGGCGAGTGTCATGACTATTTCTGATGTTTCCATGACACTGAGTCCCCCTGAGCGTTCGCTCGTATAAGACGTAGTTGCTACAGTGCGGATGAGTCGTCACTGTAGGCGACGATGACAATGCTAATGGTATTTAGGACAACCATGTTTTTAGGAAACGTGTGTAGCGCACGTAAATTGGCAACTAACATTCACCGAGCATGGCGCCCTCTTGTGAGAGAGAAGAGAGGCGCGTACCTTAACGTATACGGTTTAGTTAAAGGCGTCGCATTGCATTCGTTACCATTTTGTTCGTTGGTATGGCGACGTTAGCAGACGATGTCGTAGTTGAAGATGTCATCGGTCATGAGGTCATGGGTCATGATGTCATAGGTCATGATGTCATGGGTCATGAAGTCATGGCTCATGCTTATAGAAGTTACTGCTTTTGTTTTGACTATATATATATATATACAAATATAAATATTATGCATGCTTGACAACTCAGTCTCCGTTATTTTTTTCTCGCTCAGTTACCATGACACCAACAGCTGCGTGGATACTCGTGCTTTGCGCATGCGCGGTGCACGCCGCTCGACCTGGTCGATCCCAGCCATCTGACGGTGAAATTAAGCTGAGCAGAGAACCCGTAAAAAACTCGCCAAAATGGCCGCATTTACCACGCGGCGTGCACTTACACTTAGACAACCATAAGCCGGAAGGTGAGTGTTCTCATGACAATTAAAATACTAAAGCTCCTATAGATGCTACGTCGATCGCCGCTACCGACGTGTGGCGCCCCCTTCCCCAGGACTGCTTCCGCGTTTTACGTCGGATCGAGCTTTCTTTTTTGATAGTCTAGAGTTCTTTGGCTAGCTTTCGACTGAATTTTGAATGTTCGTTAGACTTTCTACTAACGACACTGACGATGTGACGCTCACGACGGGGGCCCGTGAACATGAATGCCGAATGGTAACAGTAGCGGCCCCTGAACGTGTATGCTGAATTCGTGCCACGCATCCGCTCCTGCGTTTTTTCGTCGTTGTTTTTTGGTTTGCTCGTTGCTACGAGAGGCGGTTGCCATGGCGACGGTGTCCAGGGGCCGGCGTGCTGGCTACCACGCTACTGTTGTTCATATTCTGTTGGCTGAACTGCTGCCCAGGTGCAGACAAACGCAAACCGCATGCGCCCGCGCGTACGATGCACCCTTGATCCGAGGTGGCCGCCACTACGTAGCGCCACCGCACAGCAGCATCACCCGTGTGTTCGGTAGGGGGCGCCAAACAGCGCGCTGACCACGGTGACTCGCGACACTAGTAGCAGAAAGGGAAAGGTTCAAAGACAAAGGAGTTGGGTTGTGTTTCCCTTATTACGACGTACGTACCCTCGTCCATCACGTGCCAAGGTCACTCCCGAAGCAATCACGTGATGTGGGAGAGATCACGCGATGAACGAGCGACCACGTGATGTGGGAGAGATCACGTGATGTGATTAGGAGTTGAGATGGGATCAAGGGTCGCGGTCGTGACGTGTCGCGTGCGTCGTGGTTTACGCTTGCTCTTGTCACTCGCTGGTCGGCTAGTGTGGCTGCTGGTTTGCGTGCGTGTGTTCATATGCTTATATGATCTATATAGCTGACGTAGAATATGCCTGCGGTGTAGCTGTGTGTAAGGATGTCTCTGATAATGAATAGTGATGGTGATGATGATGATGACAGTGACGAGGATGATGACGATGACAACGATGATGATGAAGATATGGCGATGATGATGATTATTATTATTATTATTATTATTATTATT